GTAGGAAAATTAATAGTCGCGGCACTATCCAGGGGGAATTCCTTTACTGAATAACGTCTGAACAATGGGTCCGATTTTCGATCTGTAACGGCATTTGACGTTTTTTAAATATAATTCAACTGCTACGATGCTTTTTTTTTCAAAAATATTAGAAAGTCAATTTGAAATTAGTTCTCGAACTTCCGAGAAAAAATTAAAAATGGTGGGCTCTACATGCGCAATGGCGACATGCTTGCTGAATCAAACGCGTGAGCAATCATGCAAATCGAATGAATACAAGCGTCGTAAAGTAAAATTTACGAAAAACGCTCGTCCCCTCCTTCTTCTGCGCCGTTGCATCACCCGATTATTGTGGGGCCTCCGTCGCAAGTGGACAAAATGATGGAAAATCTGGCATAAGTTCTAAATATCAATCAATTTATACCAAATTTGGTATGAATACTTAGTTAATGTTTAGAAATAAGTATCTAATGCCATTTGCAAAATTCGAAATGACGGCTTATCTCTGAACTTATTAAACATCGCATTTTTAATTTTTGGGGTTTAAAATACAGTATTTTAATTCAATTGGTTAACTAGCAATAATTACTTTATTACATTTTTTCCCCCCTTTTAAAAAAAAATAATACAAGTATTTTTCGGTGCATTTAGCCTTAAGGCTACTAGTGTCGGTTCATTTAGCCTTAACTCGTTTCAGACCTCCAGCAAAGAGAAACAAAATTAAGACTACAAGTAATAGGAAAAAACTAACAATAAAACAACTTCCAGTATCTTCTGTTGTCCTTACTGTGATCGAAAATACATATAAACGAATAATCTGAATAAGTAAAATGATCTTTTGGAATACTAAAAATACTTACATGAGTAGGCGCACGGTGGTTTACGGAATACTGTGGCCAGAACGTGTTAGTTTCAAATCTTCTTTACGACTGATAGAGATGAGGCAAATGAACGGAGATTCCCGCGTTTCGTTTAGAATGTTGGCAAGGGAGAATACTGAAGCTCCCTGAAATGAAAAATCGCCCTATTCCCTTTGAGTGCAATAAAAGCACAGAGGCAGCACCGAGAGCTGCGCGCGCTCGCCGAAAGTTCGCTACACCATGTCTGGGCGCTACCTCAACTAAATCTCTGATAGCGTGGGTCGCTCACACTTTACTCATCCTTCCTATATTACAAGAGTGGGAGTGAGTGAAGTTGAAAGGTCCAGGCAACAATATGCATTGTGTGAGTGAATGTGTGTGCATGTATGTGCGTGATCATATGGCCGTCAGATCAGTGGCAGAAAGAGAGAGATGGAAAGACAGAAGTGTGCGAGCGCAGTGTGTTGAACATAGGACCAAATCACCCTAGTAAACATTTTATTTAATTAACAAAATTTATATGATGGGTTGCCTCTCATTAAGAGAACAGTAAGAACCTTCGCCACCGCTATGCTATAATAATAGGATTATTAACAGATCTAGGATTTACATAGAATATAATCATGTACATCTGCATTACCTATGTCGAGGCGACGAAATACTCGAATAAAAAGTTAGGAGAGCAATTAGTAGAAGCTGCAACGAAACATCGCATCCTCTATCAGTAGTTTTTTGTCAGACAAGAGTGTTCTGGAAAAGAGACGACACAATTCACAAAGATTGTTATTTGGAGAAAGAATTAATGAGCATTGAAGTAATTGACACAGTTACCTCTGTCCAAACGAAATTAAACCTTTCTTTACGAATTTCGTCGTTTTTACTTCATGTTACTACTGCATCCAGTGCCTGGCACACTCTGTATCGAACCTTGAAGGCGTTCAGAACGTTTTTACAAAGCTTTCTGCACTTCGCCTCTGATAACAATGCTGGCTTGTCGCGTCTAACATGGAAATTGCGGTATTCTCAGAATTTTGACAATGCTTCACATGGTTCGAACGAGGAGCTGCCCAGGAGCTGATGCGATCTTTCGGTGATAATCTGAACTAACAGGAAGCAGCTGACAATGTACGTCAAGGAACATCGTACGAAAGAGATGAGTATTTGGTCAAAAGAGAAGACATTTGCGCGGCGTTTTGAGAAAAAGTATCTCTGAAGCACCAAGTTTGAAATGTATAATCCTTTCATCTGAAACGCCTTCAAAGAACATCAAAAATGCCCTAGATTTATATGATGATTTCTTTACGACCAGCATGAGATCTACTAGTTAAACTACACTCACAAATTATTTGCATCGCTGAGCAACCTAAACTGAAATGTAGAGATAAAATCTATTGTGCCTTTCTGAACTCAGAATTGTTTGCATCTGCACCCACGGTTGGTGTTTCTTGATTATTGGTTGCCGATGTTCCTTTCTTTCACAAGTAGCACTAACTTCGAGGACAACTCAATTTCAGGTATTGCCCCGACCGTACTAGCACACTGATAATCTCGTATTTTTCGGGATTGGGAATCATAAGAAGATATAAAGAGAAGCCATCTCTCCCATAACGTTTTGAACATAAATCATATATTAAGATTTTTCGAAAATTCCAAATTTACATTAACCTAAAATATATAAATCATTTTGCACGGTAGTTTTCGTTTGTATTTGGCGCGTCGGCCCGTATACGGATCTTAACCTACCAGCGACGTCCCAGCCTCGCGGCTATGAGTTAAGGGAGGACATGCGGTTGGTACGACGACATCCCCATGCCATATCTGGTCTTCTCATCCCTAAAAGTGATTTTTCTACTCGTCACACAGCAAAATATTCTGGGACATTGAAAGGAAATCGCACACTACAATCGTGCATAAGCGCAAACCAAACAGAGGGTCGCGTAATTGAAAGCGAGCATGCTGGCCAATGAGCTAATATGCCAAGCTCTATCAGTAGTAGTGAATCAAAGTATAACAGACAAGCTCTTGCATTTACATTCGTCCTTTAATGTCTTTACAATTGCAATACTTATTTACTTTTTCTCAGGTAATTTTTTCGCTTTTTCTTCCAGAATTATCGTTGCAGTTCTCGTAATACTCACTGTTGTTGGAACATTATGGGACAGAAATTGTGAAGACAATGAAGATGTGTCTAGTAAGTACATACAATCGTAAATTCTATATTGTCGGAAAATATTAGATAAACGGTTACATAAATGATAAATTGTATTAATATAAATAACTGAAGGTTGGGTAATGAATTAAAAGGTATCAAAAACACTGAAAAAGTACACATTGCAGAGAATAAGACATGTGAGATTTCGCGCAAAACTGTTCCTCGAAATGGGAATTGGAGTTCTTCTCTCTGAAACAAGCGTATTATGTGTGTGTGTGTAGGATCATATAGAGTGGTGCTGCGCGCCTTCTCGCTGCGCGTAGGCTGGAAGCGGCTGACGAGCCAGCGCAAGGAGGAGCTGGGCTGCATCGCGGGTATTCGCGCCCTCGCCTCCATATACCTGATGCTCACTCACGAGCTTATGTCCTGGCAACAAGAGCCAAGTATCAATAAGGTCATTTCAGCAGAGGTAAGATATTTCAGCCCTTTTCATTTTAAGAGGTAGACATTTTCCAAGGGAAGTGGGAAAAGTGTTCTACGCAATAACAAATAAAATCGATTTCTTGAAGCAGATCGCCTAAATATTTCCATATTTTTGTCCATATGCAGTTAACTTGTACGTATGTATTTAGTATTTTAAAGATGTGTCTCTTTGCTGTGTAAGCTTCGCTTTCCAAACAGAGGTTACTTGACAATTTCTCTTCTCTTACCTCTAGAAAGTTGTGCTGAAAGTTAGTCAATGCTCTGAAAACAGTTGTAAATATTATCGAAGTAAATAAAAAAAATTTCCCATGCTTACGATGAACAATCCAAATTTGTAAATTGTCAAATTGGAGTACCAAATTACGACCGTACTGTATCGCTAGCGGCCTCTGGGATTGGGCTCCATTTTAGGCCATCAGAATCTCCTTTAGCCAGTTGGGCGTATTACTGTGTACCCGTTCTTTACGAATAATACACGACTTGCCCACTTTACAACAGTGCTTTGAGATTTAGAAATACGTATGAAGTTGGGGTGATAAGTTTCGACGTCAGTGAAAACGTACAAAACCCCTTTCTTCTGGAATCATTTCTTCTGATTCTTAAAATATAGAAATTGTTAAAAACTAATGTGGCGAGCTAGTGTGTTTAACTACTGAAATGACTCATTCTGTGCACATTTGCTACCCTTGCAGTTACGCGCCACGGGGCCAACTGAATGCAATGTGCCCGTAACGTATTCACCCTCACCCTTCGGATGAGGTGCGTGAGGGCGCCAACTTCCTGCAGTGTCGCGGTTTCCCTGGCAACGATCTTACGATCCCTGGCATCGTCGGGTGTCTCGCAAAGCCTCAAACACTCCCGAAGTGGTAGCGCATGAAACTGAAGGGCGGAGTGCCCTTTGAGGTTCACGGCCGACTTGTATTGTGTGGAAAGTTCCTCAGGAAACTGACGTGTCATACCCAGAATCCCGTATTCGAAGGCTAGCGGTCTGAAAGTGGGATGGGAGATTCGACCGCGGTGCAATACGCGCCACGCGGTTCTCCGCCACCCTATCTCACGAAGCTGCAAAGCCTTTGCGCTGCTTCTGCGACCACGTCGTGCATTCGGCGCTTTTGGTCCAGTAGTAGTGGGAGAGAGATGAGAAGCGGTTGAAGATTGTGATACCAGCTTTCATCTTCGCGTTCTGGTTTCATAGTCTCTCCGAGCAATCATAATCTATGGAACCATCCCCCATTACATCACTAGTATCACAATTCAGTGCATTTTTAAACTATTAAACACAGTACACCTGCATGTATGTCCACACTGGTTTGAAGGCCCCCACAGCCCGGCGCGAAACACATGCATCCTATGTGAAATGTCCACAGGGTAAATTTTCGATTTTTAAATGTTTTTGTTCTTGAACATTTGTACAATTTACTATTGAAAAATTTTAATGAGTGCAACAAATTGTCTTTTAAGTAAGATAGCTTCGTAATTGTTAAGTACCACATTTTCGTATGTCTTCTGCGACCAAAATTTCATCAAAGGAGTCACTGGTCATTCTAGTAAATTAAAAGCGTTACTCAGTGTCACGTCAAGGTTTGATATTATCCGTACTTTGTCCTTTCTACCTCAAATTCCTTCCATGGTCAAATGTTACATCGTTTCCTAAAGATATATTAACAATTTAATGGAATATTGTAGAAGAAGAAGGTAAAAGCACGGTGGCGCATGTGCTCAGATAAGGTACTACGAGTATTGGCATTTTCTACCTTCTGCATGAATTGAAGCGACCGCGTTTTGTCGGTCGAGGAAAACTCTCACCAAAAGCTGAGTAATAACTGACGCTGCGGAGCGGTCCTGCGGATTTCACGGTTAGCGTGAAAGTTTCCGCGCCACACCTGTGTCTGTTCCGCACCGGTCTGTGGGAGTCTTTAAACATCACATTAAACTAAGAGAGAAATATTTGGAGTTAGAATTGATGCTAATACCTGAAGTTCTCTCTAATCTTCTGAATATGATTCGCTGCAAATATACAAGTTATACTGCGAATAATACTTCTGCCCACTTGACGGCTCCCGGTTGACAGGGGAAAGGGGGTTCCGGTATCCAATCAGAGACTTTAAATTGTGATGATGTCATTATTGCGTTGCCGATGCTTATTAAGAAAAAATTAAAATCTCATATCGCGAAGCAATTGAAAATTGTAGAGCGTCGAGCGCTATTACGTGTTTGGGTATGCGTCGTGTGTGCGGTTCCGTGTCGCCCTGTAAGTTATGTGTTATAAGGTTACTTTGTGCATATATAGTGATAATAATTGAAGACTGATATACTTATGCCTCAATGTATGTGTACGAACACAGTAACGGACATTTTTTAATCATTATGCCAATGCTTTCGGTAGGACGCCCCCTCGAAAACCTTGTAAATTACAGGTAAATTCAGTAACACTAAAAAGTCCTGCAAAATTTTTGTAATTGTGAACGTTCCGTGAAAAGAACATATGTATTCAAATCAAGAATGTCTGGAAGTTTAATACTTTTCTCTTATAAAACTCTTAGAATACAACTCTGAGAATACTTCCTTCTAAAACCCCGTCTTGCTGTACTTTCGACTTGCTTTTCACGTGTTATGCTAAAATGTTTCGTTACTCCTTGCATTGGCAGGATTAGTATAAGGGACTGCAATAAATTTGTGTAACAATACTTCATCAAATACATTAGTGTCGTTACAATTATACTATAAATATAAGAAGTTGGACGTGTATGCCTCAACAGCTGATCTGACGCAAGAACGACCACGTGTCCGCCGCCCGAGTAAGTGGCAACATTCCTCTCCCCCTCTCCCAGCTGTCAATTCGACAGAAATATTATTTGGACTGAGGGTACGTACTTCAGCTCGTGCACCGTTTCTGTTCGTCGGTGCTGGAAGTCGGGGACAGTAAAACATCCGCTGACTATGACAGTGAACTGATTTTGGACTATCAAAATTACGTGGATCTTGGTAACTTCCTTAGCCTTTCAAAACTGACGGTTAGAAGATCGGAGCTAAGGAACACATTTTCTCATAAAATAAAGACTTTATATTAAGAACAATTGCATGTAAATACATTTTATTTAAAATTGTAAAACTTGTTAAATACATAAATTTATTACAAATCTTTCAGTGTTTTTTAAAAATTTGATAATTTTCCTCTCATTTTTAAGTCATTTTATAGTTCATTTTCAAAGAATTTTAAGGCCGTTAGAATCCGAGCTCTGTTTACGACAATTTTATGAATAGTTAAGTATGGTTTAGCTTCAAAAGCATTTCTTAACACTTCATTTCCTTACAAAGAGGCTATTATGGCGACAGGAGAAAAAAAACATATGCCTGCAGGTACAAAAAGAAAAAATAAACTAAAAATGGAAAGGCGAAATGCGAGAAGACTCGAAAACTGAAACCGCACATGAGCGAGGTTTGGAACGAAAACTTCTTGAAGATGGGAAATCAGAAGTAACAAACTATACTACAGGAGTCTGATTTGAAATCAACTCTTGGTTCCTGTGATGGTCGAACGCCTTGTTTATTTCGTAGTGAACCATTTTCAGCCGACCGCCGCACCGTCGAGAACTTTGGGTCCAGGGCATTGTGTGAAATGTAGGCGCGCAATGACTGTGCTGGTGCTGAAAAAAACATTTATTCTTCTGATTTTTTAAAATGATTATTCTATTTTCCAATAATATATCATTTATATATGTAAATCTGTATATAATTTCACTAAACCCATACATGAATTATTAATTTTTTACCCTCTTTCTGCACAGGTCAGAAAGTTCATATATTTTAGATGGTTTACACAAATGTTCAAGATTAAATTATCATATTTGTTTTTTATTTTAAAAAGGTATTTAATTATTTTTGAAAAAGTGGAAATAAAGTGGAAATAAATGTAGCTTCACTATGCGCACGTCTTATTGATCGTCTCTTTTTGCTTGTAGTGGTAGTAGAAGTAGTGGTGAGGGCGAGTTACCATTTTGTTAGCAATGCAGAAAATAAAATTTACAGTTCGTTTACCGTTGCAAATAAGTTTTCTATAACTCAAGAACTAAAATGTCTAATTTTTAAAATGTCGCTAATCTCGCGCTTTTCTTAAATTTTAATTAATTAATTAATTAAATTATTATTTGTTTATTTATTTACTTATTCATTTATTTATTTATCTTTAACTGTTACTCGTCTTTCAACTAAAACGATGGGAAGGGATTACCCTATACGTCACATATAGTTTTTACTGTTTTTTGACTAAGTGAATCTAAATCTACCTTTCTCTAAACAAAATTTCTAAAAGATGGAATATTTACCCTTAATTCAAATTAATATACATTAGTGGTGGTACAACAGCACATGCTTACTCGCATTATTTCTAACTGCTCCACTCTATACTTTTTCATAAACATGCAAAAGTGTTTCAAGCCAACCACAAGCCACAGCTGCACCGATACTCGAACGCAGGTAACCCTATTTAACTCGTCGTCAACCATATCACTGCAGAACAGAAGCATGCTAAGTTTTGAACTCGGGCCAACGTTCAAAAATGTAATTATGTCAACCCAACACTTCAAACGCGCAATTTCCGCCATTTTTAAAAATACGGACAGTTGACTGAGAATGAAACCAGAACAATGTTTTTTACTGCCCGTTGTTACATACAATGAGAATATTTAATGAAAACAATAGTGTGATTTTGGAAAGTTCATAAATTTCAGACACACATTTGGCGAAATCTACTAGCTTTTTCTAAACATTCTTCATGATCAGATTTAGAATACTGATTTTTTACAGCAAACTTTGCATAAGGCAAGACTATCTTCAATTTTGTAGTTTTGATTTTTTTGCAAAATCGAAAAAAAGAGAAAACCCGAAAATGAAACTAGCACTATATTTTATACAAATTACATATGTAGAACATTTCTACATATGTATAACATGTAAAGAAAAAAGTGGAATACATTTTGAAAA